GTCTGTCTATTCCATTGAGACAGGGATATATACTTATTTACACCTATTTCCATGATTTATTTTCCCTTTGTACTCATCCTTGCTTGGCCCTATGCCTTACTATTATAAATACCTTGACTTTTAAAACCCCATCACTCAATGATATTCACACAGTCTGGTTTTGTTCAACAGCCTGTGCCCCTCTGACCTTCCTTCATCAGAAAGCTAGATGTTTGAATACACATGCATCTGGATGCTTGATATTCTCAGTGTTATCAGAGTCTTCGTCCTTCATTTCTTCTTTATTCTGGGACCAGAAAAATCTTTCTGAATATAGATGATATTTTTAATGAGTAAACGTTGTTAGAAACACACAGAATGGGGAGGAAAGACAAAACATTTTGCTTTAAGCATTTATTCTTGGGGTTAGTTTTTGAGCAGTCAGCTGCATCACCTAAACTCAGTATTGGGTCTCCATCTGGTGGCCAAAAATTTTGCTTTTACATTCTGAAGGAACTCAAGAGTTTTCACCACATTTTTCTGAGGGTGAATTACAAAGATTAAAGACATGAGAAATACACAAATTTAGAAGATCCTGTTTATGTAAACATTAAATACAAATTTCTGTAAAAATACAATCCAATTTTCATGCAGAAAATAAAATCAGCAATAAGGTAAGACCTTTGGTTGCAGCTAAAAAACTGTGTGCTGTTTGACATATATATTAACAAATTTCTGGCTGGGGAGATGGCCCAGAGGTTCGGAGTACTGGCTGCTGCTCTTTTAAAGGACCTCGGTTCAGTTCTCAGCACCCACATGGTGGTTCACAACCATCTGTAACTCCAGTTCCAGAGGATCTCACATTTTCTGGCTTCCATGGGCACTGCACATACAGGCAAAACAAACATACATATAAAATAAAAATATTAAAAAAATAACTCTCCAGCCAGGCGTTGGTGGCGCACACCTTTAATCCCAGCACTCGGGAGGCAGAGGCAGGTGGATCTCTGCCTGGTCTCCAGAGCAAGTGGCAGGATAGGCTCCAAAGCTACACAGGGAAACACTGTCTCAAAAAACCAAAAAAAAAAAAATCCTAAATGGAAGAGCTGCAACAAAGAATCTAAGCAAGTATTTTCCTTTCAAAGGGTTTAAATTCTAGTTGAATAAAAATAAAAGGCCAAAGAGGTAGTGAGAGGACAAAATGTGGGGAAGCCTTAGAGAACTCACAAGGATCATGGAATTCATTCTAAATGTAGGTCATTAGAGTTTTGGGTGCTATCATATTTTGGTTGTGATAGGTCTATTAACGATTGGCATGTATAGAGCAGATAAAAACAAATACATACTATAAAGTACCTATAGCATAAATATTTATGGAGAAAAGACTGTACCACTCTGGATCATGGTCACAGTGGGCCTCTCAACAATTAGACCATATTAAAAGAGTGATGGATGCTCAAAACTAGCTACTTAACAGGTTCACTCTCAAGGTATCCAAGCACAAGGAAGTGACTGACAGCTGTCAATCAAAGGGTCAAAGTGCCCCAATTACTTAACAGCTTAGCTTATTTGAAGGAGAAATAAACATTGAAGGAGACTTTAAATAACTTGTCCTTCCATTATTGTTCTTAACAATATTAAGTGCTGGTTAACTCTTAGTCAAATACTCCTAGGGAGGGTGGAATCTCTCTGATCAGGTGGAGAAAAGAACAACAGGAAATCAGGGAGAAGATGAAGACAAAGAAGTATCGAGAGCACAGAACATGGGGGAGATATAGAGAACACATAAGAGTTATTGAATTTATTCCAAACATTGAAGTAAGTCATTAGAGTTTTAGACATGGTCCTATTTTGGCTTTGGTAGGTTTATTTGTGATTGCCATGCATAGATCATGTCGGATGTGGCATGGGGAAGGGGAGCAAAACAAGTAGCAGACAGCCCAATAAGATGTCTGTTGCAATAATCTATATGAGAAGCTGGGTGATTTAGTCTCTGATAGTAGTGGCATAGAGGGCAAAATTTAGGGAGGTCATTTTATAGGTTAAGCCAATAGGAATTTCTATTATGTATAAGAAGAAGAACAAAGCAACTAAGAGTTATAAAATTTTTGACCAGGTACATGTAAAGGCAAATACTGAGGTTGAAGAATATTGGGAGAGAACAATTTGGTGCAGTGGGGTGCAGGGAGACAACAACAAAGGAATTTAACCTGGTACCCCAGTGACTTACCTATTAGACATCTATGTAAGAATGTCAAAAATATAACAAAATGTAAAGGTCCTCTCTTCAAATGGAATAAAAGAAATGGAGATACAAACTCTAAACCACTGCTCCGTAACTTACATTGTTGATCAATGGGAAAATGTGCAGGCCTTCCTCAATATAACCCACCAGAATAAATCAAATACACATCAAAGTGAGGGCAGAACAGCAGTGTTGTGGACTGACGTCATAATGAAGAGGTTCCGGGTTTATATCTATATATGGTCACATAATTCAGTCACCATGGTGCATGAAGAAAGCTAAGGTTCAGTCACTGCAAAGCCTTTTTCAGACCAAATGATAAGCAAGTGAATAAACCAAAAGCACCCAAAAAGGAGCCATATTCTCTATTAGCTACTTTTCTCATTGCTATATCCAAATACTTCATGGTTTTCAAATACAGTTCACCATAGTGCAGCAAACACAACCACAAGAGGGGTTCACAGCTATGCTGGGAGAGCTAATTACATCTGAGTAGATGAGGAGGACAAATAGGATAGGAAGTGGGACTGGCCTACACAACTCACATCCTAAACCTTGCTCGACCTGCACAGAAACCTATTTCCCCCAGCTAGAGCCTACCTTCCTAAAGATTATACAGCTAGAAGCCAAGTGTTCAAACACAGGAGCCTATAAATAACAGTCTACTCTCAAACTGTTTACACTGTGTGAGAAAGAGTGGGGTATCAGGAGTAGAGTCAGTGGGGACAACCACATGACATGGGAAGTGACAGGGGTAAGTATGAGGGTGGGTAGAGACATGACCTGAGAGCCAGAGTAAGAGTAAAGCAAAACAAAACTTTATTTCATAAAATCAACATGATTTAATAATGATATTTCTTAAACATTAACTGATAATATTTACACTGCAGCTATATAAAATAGTCAACAAAAAATACTCCAGACAAGAGGTGTTCGAATGACTTGTCAATGAATATGTGTTGAATTGACAGTATTTGTTGTTCTAGTTGGATGCCATCATTGCTGTAGTGTGGACTCATATACTCATAATGTCCCCAGTTAATAGCACATAATAAGTGCTACTCTATGATACACTGCGATGATTTCATCTTAGGAAATAAGATCAAATCAGACTGATCCAATTGTAAGTCAAGCTTGCTGAGTGAAGAATGTCAGAGATGCTGTTGCCAATGGCAGGTGGTGTACATACAAAGCAGCACATTTCTTAACCTTCTGAGGCTTATGTCAGCTATTAAAGACTGAAGAATAAAACGTTTCTGCTCTGAAAAAATGAAAAGATAATCTGATATATTAATGAATCATACTGCAGTCCTGAAAAACTAGGGTGAGTGAGGGAATTAATGTTTGTGGCATGCACAATTAATGTTTGTGACATGAACAGTTAACTTTCAAATTTATTAGTCTTAACATAATGAATGGACATGCTCAACCTTCAGTGTAGGTTGGTAACAACACTGTACAGGGAAGAAAGTTTTTACAAGTGGGAAAAATAACATTCAGCATTATCTGAGAGGGCCTGTAATCATGAATTCAGTCTGGAAGACAAGAACAGAGGAGTCAGTCTGTTTTCTGCATTCTTCATTCGGGCAGTTGGACACTTGCATGCAAACTTACTGGCCCAAGCTCTCCAGATAAAAGCTTTCCATATTTCTTGCACAGCTGCCCAAAATGCCCAAGTAAGCTCAGTTTCACAATAAAAATTCACAAATGCATGAAACAAACAAAAAATGCAACCAGAAAGTGGTGTGAGCCTTTTATCCAACTACTCAGAATGCAGAAGCAGGCAGATCTTTGCATTCCAATGCCAGCCTCGTCTCCAAAGTAAGTTCCAAGACTGCTAGGGTTACACAGAGAAACCCTGTCTTGAAACACACCCTCCCCCAAAGCAATTAAATAAGACTAAGTAATTACTGTGAATACTCATCAATTTGTACCTACATAGCAAGAGAAGAAAACCTCAGAGGATACTCACAGTAAAATTACCAAAGTCGAGCCATGTCAGTGGATGTCAATAAAAGGGATCTTTTCCACCATGACAAAGTAAACTGGTATGCTCACTGAAAGGGCCATTTGCCGGCGTGTAGATAATGAAGCATGCTTATGTGCTGTAGTAGTCTTACAATCCCACTCAAACACACACTAGAGATTCTTAAGGACATATGCGTGACAAAAATTTCAAACCATGAGCTACCAAGCAAAAGGTTTAACTACTCATGTCCAACTTAAGGAAGCATCCAATAGGACTTCAGGCATCACAGTGCTGTTTTATATGTATATGCTGTGAGCTGATTAACACTGTTGACCTTATGAACATTGCCCATTACAACAAATGAAGTGAGAATGTTTGAGACCATCTGCAGATCCCAAGTATAGATTGACCACAGTCACAAGTGAACTGCATCTTCAGCACATGTTGCTTGAATAACTGAAGCTTTGCATCTTTGATCAATTACTATCCCATGTCATCATCCTCAAACCCTAATGACCACAATTCTCCTCCCTGTTCTATGGGTTTAACTGTTGCAGGTAACACAGGAGAAAACATTAACTCTTTGTCCATTTAGCTTATTTCACTTTAGCATACTGTTCTCCTGGTTCATTCAAGTCCTAATCACTTTGTTTATGTTTGAAGAACGCTCTTTGTATATGTGACATTGTCTTGTTTGTTCATTCATCAAAAGGTATTTAGTACTTTTCTGTTGCTGTGATAAAACATGATGGCCATGGCTTTTCCCCTAGCCTGAGGGAGCAGTCCCAATGGCCCAGACAAAGCATTTCAGCTGTCACCCAGACCCATATCCTGGGCTTTGGGTTGGTCCATCCTAGCATCTGCATCATCTATGACCTGCTGGGATGGGTGAAGAGACTGATCCTGCAGAACAATAACTGCAGCATCTCCAAGACTCAGGGCAACAGCAGGATCTAAGAGAAGAGTATCAGTGAGGGTCCAAGGATGTTGGTTGCCAGAGGTCTTGAACCAGACCAATGGATCATTACAATGAACATTTTGCATATTGGACAAAAGGGTATACTAAGTGACACGCCATCGCTTCTGATTCCACTAGGATGAATGAAGGGGTATTGGGAAAGATGGAGGAGCAAGGTGGGGTTTTTGTTGCCTATTTAAATTAATTTGGGGAGCATGCTGCTGGAGTGAGGAGCAGATATGGAGGGACTGGGGAGTGAGCAGGATTAGGGTGCATGATGTGGAATTCCCAAAGAATCATTAAAGAATTATGTTTATAAAAGAGAGAAAGAAGCATGGCCATGGTGAATTATGGAAGAAACTGATAAATTTGTCTGCTAATTCCAGAGGGGCCATAATGGGATGAGAAAGCATGGAATCAGTCTCAAGAAGCTGAGAATTCACATCTGCAACCACAAAGCAGAGCAAGCACACAGGAAGTAGGACAAGGATATAAATTCTCAAAGCCCACACCCAGTGACATACTTCATCTAGCAAGGTGTCACCTCACAAAAGTTCCATGGCCTGTCCAAACAGTAGCAAGGACTCAAATACCTGAACCTATAGGAGGCATTTCTCATTCAAACAACCACAAGGCATTTCCCATGCTTCAATATCTTGGCTTTAATGTGTACCCCTCCTCAAAGTGCTGATTTCGATCATGACACCAGAATTTCACTTTCTCTACATCTTCACTGACAATTGTTACTTTTGTCATAAACATTTCTAATGACTATGCAAAAAAGTTATGAGGTGGTCTTGTTATCAAATCTATAGATGAATGCAATCTATACCAAAATTCCAATGACATTCTTCATAAAAACAGAAAATAATCCTAATGTACATATGGAAGTACAGAAGCCCAGAAACAACTAAACTGGATATGGTGGCACACATGTATATTCTCAGAACTTGTTAGGTAGAGACTGGCCAGCCTCATGGAAACAAGCTTGAGCCCCACCTGAGCAACAAAATGAAACCCTGTCTCAAGAAAAAAAACTAAGAATAAAATTAAAACATCATGGCCAAAGTAATCCTGAGTAAAGAACAATGTTGGGACCTTAAATTATACTACAGAGCCATAGTAACAAAAACAGCATGATATTCATGCAGACATTTATACCAATGGGCTAGAATAGAGGACCCAGAAATAAACTCACACAACGACAGCTCCCTGATTCTCAAAAAAACGAGCTAAAAACATACTTTAGAGAAGAGATGGCCTATTAATAAATGGAGTAAGAAAACTGGATGCCCATAGTTGGGATATGTCAAGGACAAAAGCTATTGTCCTTTCTCATCCTATATAGAAATCAATTCAAAATGGATCAAAGGACTTAAAGTAGACCTGAAACTTTTAAGTTCTTATGAGAGAGACAAGAAGAATCCTCCAGATAGAGGAATAAGCAATATGAATAGGACCCCATTAGCTTAGGAAAAAATACCAAGAATTGACAAATGGGACTGCTTCAAATGAAAAGGGTTCTTCACAGCACAGAAAATAGTAAATGAAGTGAAGAGAAAAAGCCTACAGAATGAGGAAAAAAATCCTCACCAGCCCTGCATCTGATAATGGATTACTACTGATACTGAAACTCAAAAAATTAAATACAGATGGAAAAAAACTATAATAAATAAATAGGCAAGTGAACTGAACAGATGTAATTTGAAATATATACAAAATGGCCTCACAGTCACTAGCAAAATTATACAAAGACACCACCTATGTATTGTTCATGTACAATAGACACATAATGATGCATCATAGAGCTGTTACTTCCAGAACACCAAAATTAGGCATAATCATAAAAAGGAATGAACAAATTATAGTATACACATTATATTCTTATGCAACATAGAAAATGAAAATTAATAGTCCATGACTATGTTCATCAAAGTGTATGAACCTTGAAACTGTAATAGTGACCAAATAAGTCAGAAGAATACATAAAGGAGCTTCCATTTTGCAAGGATACGTAAGTGTCAAATAGAAATTCCAGAAATAGATTGTAGAATATATGACATTTAATTCATTGTGATGTTTGATTCTACAGAAGAGGGGTGGATTGTTTAGTAAAATCACAGCAAAAATTTTCTGTTGCTCATCCTGGGGGAAAAAAAAAGGTTTCATTGCTAACTAATACCAGAGCTAAAAAAAAAAAAAAAAAAAAAAAAAAAAAAAAAAAAAAAAA